CTCTACTTTGTTCTCCTTGAGGCCAGAGTGGTGCTGAACTTAGATCAGGCTTAAAAAATGATTTCCTGGGTGCCTGGGTGGCTCAGATGGTTAAGCGTCTGCCTTCGGCTCGGGTCATGATCCCAGGGTCCTGGGATCGAGTCCCGCATCGGGCTCCCTGCTCCTTGGAGCCTGCTTCTCCCTCTGCCTCTCTCTCTCTCTCTCTCTCATGAATAAATAAAATCTTTTAAAAAAATGATTTCCTGTCTGAATCCCAAAGACCAAGAACTTCTCTTGTGACTCAATTCCCTTGCCAAATTTCATACTGTATTAGACATAGCCCTCTAACTTTCCCAGAATATTTACCGTAATGTACATGAGATATCCAGTTTCCAAGAACATTTTTTAAGTTACCGTGATTTTCTCCATGTTTTATAATCTTCAAAGTGATTTCACAAACACTACCCTCTCAAGGTGTTTTCACAAACACTACCCCCTCAGTATTTTAACAGATACTATGAAAAAGGCAAAATCTTAATGTGTCCATTTTACAGATGGGGAAACAGACCTTCCGAAGTAAGGTAATTCCCTTAAGGTCATACTGATTATTGGTAATAATAATAATAATAACAATAATAGTTACTACTACTGACATCTTTGAAGACTTAATAGTAGATTAAACACATGAGATTGCTGATATTCTACCATTTTTAACCTACACAAAAAAAGGTAACCTCATACTGTTGAACCTAAATGATAAGTATATCGTGTCATTCAAGTCTCATATCAATCCTATAAGGTAAGAGCAAACTTCTATTTTAACAATAAGGGGAATGAAGCCCTGGGGGTAAATATGCTTACCTGAGGTCAAGCAGTGGTGCTCGAATTCAAACCTAGACTGGTAGCTCTCCCACACCACCCCTCCAGCACACAGCTAGGAAATGGTGGAGCTTGCAGGACTAGCTGGAGCTCTATTGACCCACTTTTTTTTTTGGTATTAAAAACACAGCACGTTTATACTGATAAGGAAAATCTGTGTCCTAAGATGGCCAACTGAGCCAGTGAGAGAGCCCCAGTCCTTGCCCCAGGGCTCTTCCGGGTTATTCTCTCTGCTCTGCTTCCCGAGCGCACCAATCCAGGTTCTTCCTGCCCCGCTTCGCGCACGCACCAAAAGTGCCAAGTATGCGGAAGCAGAAATGTGTAAACTGCCCCCTTTGTTTGTGCTCGGGGCTCAGACCTTTGGAGACCACTCTCCTCTGAGCCCACTGGCGCTAAATAAACCTCCGATCCTCCAAGATCTCTGGGTTCCCGCTTGGTTCTTCCGTTGGGCGATCCAGTCCAGGTTCTGTAACAATACTAAATCTCCACAAAAACCACATAAGGGAGAAAAGACCAACCTCATACTACAGATGAGAAAGCTGAGGCTCAGAAGGTTTTCCTGGCTTGGCCACCCACACTGCTACTAAATGTTGGAGCTGGGACTCAAAGAAGAGCTGTACACCTTCAAAGTCGGGGCTCTTCATCACCACATCAGTGGTTCCCAAATCACCTGAGGACCTTTTAAAATTTCCAGTGTCCAGGTGACTCTCCTGATCAATGAAAGCCCACAGCCCCTTGAGGTGGAACACAGGTTGTGAGTAGTTTTTGGAACTCCTAAGGTGAGCCCAACGTGCAGACAAACTTGGGAACTACTGCACGACACTCCATCCCTTCCCACCCCGGCCTCGTACCTCTTCTACCACACGGCACCTACTGGCTGATAAAATCTGACCCTGAGGTCTCTGCCATCAGTGCAACCACACAGTAGTGATCTTTATCGTGCTTTGTACAGTGAATGCCTATTTCCCGGACACATTCTGCAGAGAGCTCCAAGCAGAAACCAAAACAAGCCACAGCAAAGGGCCAATGACAGTACTTTTCCACTGACAACAATCAGCTGCCACCGAGGCTGAAGTAGAAAACACCTTATCTGGGGAGGCCCTGCACTCTCCTGAGAGTTTAGCTTTGGCTTCAGTAGACAGTCTGAACCGGGACAGCTGAACTTCACTGGTGTCTGGCTGGGGAGAAAGGGGGAGGCGCTGGTCAGCCTTCCTGAGTGGGACAGCCCTCTGCCTTCCCCATTACTCACATTTGCCGTATGCAGGGTCAGGGCTATGCTACCGAAGGTAACGCGGGAGGCGTGCATTCCCTCCCACTGTGTCCAGCCACCACCAATTCAAAATACTTCATCTTTATGAACCTCGCTTATTCTTAAAAATATGCTTCTTTGATTCCTGCAAGCCAAGTCCATGGAAAAATAACGGAAACCAAATGCCAGGGAAATGGCGCCAAGGCAAACACATGTGAGCCCTGAAATAACAGGAGATACTGTGGTCACGTCTGACCTTCTGAACTGTGCTATGGGTTCAAGCAAAAACAGCTCTCCCTGCTGCTGAAGGGGTGCGTGGTAATACTTTATTTGTAATGCAGAAGAGCTTGGTTTTTAAAGAGATGGCCTTTTGAAACTGTAGGGACTCAGCCAAGGGGCCAGAAATAATATTTTGAGGAATGACTTTTTTTTTAAAGGCCACACTTCACTTTCCATAAGCTCAGAATCTTCTGATTTTTATCTGTCAATGATGAATATGCAAGACCTCCAGAATTTCTACAAGTGTTTGTCTTTTGATTATACCAATATTTGGGTGCAGTCTAACAGAGAAGTAGAAATGCAAGTTCACTTGTTTATTTTAGCAGCCTGCAAGAGATAAATGTGGAAGGACCTAGATGGAAAAGAAAAATGGGGGGTGCCTGGGGGGTGCCGTCAGTTAAACATCTGACTCTTGGTTTCGACTCAGGTCATGATCTCAGGGTCGTGAGATCAAGCCCTACATCCTGCTCTGCACTCAGCGCGGAGTCTGCTTGGGATCCTCTCTACATTTCCCCCTGCCCCTCCCACCACGCTGCTCTCTCTCTCTCTCTCTCTCTCTCAAATAAATAAATAAATCTTTAAAAAAAAAAAGTAAAGTAAACTAAAATGACCCAGGGTCAAAAATGAATACAGAGACGTCTCCTGGTGTCCACACTAACCAGTGTGGTCCCCAGCAGCAGGGAGTCTCAGCGCTGCTGGTGTGCGTGCTGCAAACCGTTACATTCCTATGAGATGCCAGGAGCTTCCTTCTTGGGCACACAACACAAGTCACCAGGAGGAATCTGCTCTATGTTAGCATTACCAAGAAAAGACCACAAGCTACAGAGTTTATGCAAATGAAGATTGGTTCCCATGGAAAAGATTCCTGTATTAAAATAATAGCCAAGTTTGTCTAGGAGTGAAATACTTATTTTCATATTGTTTTTCAGATAATATTCTTTTCCTTTAGTTACATTATTTGCTGCATATCTAGAAGACATGTGTCTTAAAGAGAAAAAAATACATAGTAAGACTAGCTTTATTGCAATTAGTGTGGGGCGAAATACTCTATAAAGGAAATAATAGCAAATTCTTTGTAGAGCTTACTATATGTTCAGGCACACGGTAAAGCTTACCTGCTTTTCATGTATTAATAGATTTAATCCTCACAAACAGTGATTGCTGTTGTGTCCAGAAGTTTTATTTTTATTTTAATGGATCATATTTATCAATCTTTTCATCTGTCGTTTAGAAATCAAAAAATCAAAACATTAAGAACAGAAAAAAATCCCCCATAGAAATATTTCTCTTGTATTTTCTTCTACAAGGTTTAACTATTCAGTTTTGATATTTGAATTTATAATTTATCTGGAATTTATTTTGGATTAAAACACGAGGTAGGAATAGAATATATATTTTTTCCCAACAAATAACCAATCCTCCTAGTTTCACTTATCCCCAATACTACCATCTTTTCCAAACTGATGATGTCGCATTCCTCATATGCTGAGTTTACATATCTTTGTGAGTTGGGCTATGGGCTCTGTTGTCTATTCCTGTCACAACACCACACAACCTTAATTTCTTATAGTTTTACAATAAGTTTACATCTGGTAGAACAATTCCAACACCCTTCCCCACCCATCTTGTCTCTCTTCTTTTTTTTTTTTTTGATAGTTACCTCTGCCCTTTCATATCAAGTTTACAATTACCTGATTAAGTTCTAGGAAAAACTCTATTGAGATTTTTGTTGTAATTTCTAAGTTAACTTGGGAGAATTGATATCTGCTTGATAATGAGTCATCACCTCAATGGAGATGGTATCATTTCTCTATTTCTATAGCCTTTCTCCCCTGCCCCTCGCCATTGACAGAAGGAGTCTTTGTCTTATTCCTGATTCTTAAGAAAAATATTTTAACAGTTCCTCCTTAAAAATATTTACTTAGGTCTTTAGTAGACACCCTTCATTAATTAAGCAAGGTTCCTCTATTCCTATTTTGCTAAGAGTTGGCTAAGAGTTTTTAATTGTAAATAGGTATTAAATTTTATCAAATGTTATTGAGACAATTCCACAATTCCATGGTTTTTCTCCTTTAATCTCTTTAATGTCAAATCATCTTTGCATTCCTATGATAAATCCAATTTTTTTTCCTTAATCCCCTTTATCTATTTCACCCATACCCTCACCCACCTCCCCTCTGGCAGCCACCAGTTTGCTCTCTGTATTCAAGAGTCTGTTTGTCTCTTCTTTCTTTATTCATTTGTTTTGTTTCTTAAATTCCATATATGAGTGAAATCACATGGTATTTGTCTTTCTCTCACTTATTTTCTTAGCATTATATCTTCTAGGTCCATCTATGTTGTTGTAAATGGCAAGATCTCATTCTTTTTTATGGCTGAGTAATATTCCACTACTCCAATATTTTTATGCCACATCTCTATCCACTTATCTATGGACATGGGTTGCTTCCATATCTTGCCTATTGTAAATAATGCCGCAATAAACAGGAGTGGATGTATCTTTTTGAATTCGAGTTTTTGTTTTCTTTGGCTAAATACTCAGTGGTAGAATTACTGAATCATATGGTAATTCTATTTTTAACTTTTTGAGGACCTCCATACTAATTTCCACAGTGGCTGCACCTGTTTGCATTCCCACCAACAGTGCAAGAGAATTCCTTTGTCTCCAAATCCTCACCAACACTTGTTTCTTGTCTTCTTAATTTTAGCCATTCTGACTGGTATGAGGTGATATCTCATTGTGGTTTAGATTTGCATTTCTCTGGATGATTAGGGATGTTGAGCATCTAGTATTTTGCTTACTTATACACATATATTTATACACGTGGCTGGTTCATAATCTTTCCTTCTTGTAGTCTCCTTGTATCAGTTGGAAAATGTTCCCTATCTTCTACTCTTTAATAAAATTGGCATTAGCATGTGATTATCTGTTCCTCGAATGTTTAGCCAAACTCATCTTGTCCTATGGAAGTGCAGGGGGTAAACTATTAACAACTGATCCATTTCTTTAATGATAAAGATTGTACTATTATTTCCATTTCTTCTTGGGGTAGTTTTCATAAGTCACATTTTTCTAAGACATTGATCATTTCTGTCTTTTTAAATCTATTGGCATAACACTATCTTCTTGTTTATCTTTATTACAATCTGTAGTTATGAATCCTTTTTCATTTCTAATATTGTTTGTGAATGCCGAGTCTTTAAAAAAAGAAAAAGTTTTGCTAAATGTTTGTCTATATTATTAGTTTTTTTTTTTTTAATCAATTGGAGTGGACACTGTGCTCCACCCAGATTCCCTAGGGTTCCTTTACCCCTCACCAGATTCAGGGTGGCTTTGCTTCCAATGGCCAATACCTAAAACTCTTCTTCAGAGCATGGTCCTCACTCAAGCTACTAGAGCCACTTTGCCCAAGAGAGACCAAAGTGTCTGGAAATTCACATCTGCTCCAGTTAACCCTTAGCCAATAACTGGCAGCTGTGGGAGCATGGAAGCCCCCAAGTGGAACAGCTTCTTGATCCCTAATAATGTATTTTATCTTAAAACCTCTTTGTCAGAGTGTATTTGCTTCAGCCAGGTGTTCCAAAGTTATCACTGTCTAGGATATCATTGGCTTGAGGTAACTTTTTATATTGATTGCTGGGGAGGTGTGGCAGGCAGTTCCAGAACTATGCACATAAGATAAGTTCAAATTCCAAACCCATGTTGGAAGAAGCATTTTAACATCATTTTATTCTCTTTGACCCAAAAGGAGACTTTCATGGTGATATCCTTTCAAAAAAAAAAATGTAACAAATCCAAGGCTAACAATATAAGCAACTCTACTTCCTACTTCATTGAAGGTGATGAACCATCTTGCTTTCTCAGAAATAGCAGAGATACCTCAGTCATCCAACTCCTATTAAACCATCTCATGCTCCTTGTGCCAAGAAGAATTCTTGCTGGAATTGTTCTTCTCAAAAACAAAATGAAAACAAAAACAAACAGAAAAAATCCACACATACTCAGGAACACAGCTATTTCTAATTAGCCATGGATGGAATGTGTTAGTATCCCTCCCTCCATAATAAATCCTTGTAACTAAATAACAAACACTTGCTATTCTTGTGCATACAGAAGCCAGAAGTTTTTCTCAGCATAGAGAAGTAATAGAGGTGAGAAAGGAGAGGATCGGGATGAACAAGGTGTAGGGTTTTTAGACAAGTGAAGGAGGAAGGCTATGTTTAAGGTGGACACAGCAGGGCTTGTCTGAGGAATCTCATGGATCTTAGGTTTCTGCTCTGTTTGCTGATCAGAGAAAAGGAGGCTGCATGGTTAAGAGCAGAGGCCTCAGTCAGATAGACGTTGGTTTAAGTCCTATCTCTGCAATGCAGTAGCTGTGTGATGCTTGGCAAATTGCCTAACCTCTCTGAACTACAGTTTGCTCATCAGTAACATGTGAATAATTCTTCCTACACTACAGGGTTTTTGTGAACACTAAATGAGAAACCTGTTAAGCCCTAGTCACAGTACCTAGAACAAAGTAAGTAGCTATAATTAATAACCCAATGCAGTAAGACCTATTGTTATTACTGTTATGGAGAACAGAACTAGTACCATATAATGAGGATATGCAGTTATGCTGAGGGGCCCTCCATTTACTATGGAGGGAGGGATACTAACACATCCTACCTAGGGCCAATTAAAAAGAACTGTGTTCCTGAGAGTGTGTGTGTGTGTGTGTGTGTGTGTGTGTGTGTGTGTTTGGTTTGTTTTGTTCAGGAGAGGAACAGTTTCAGCAACTCTGGCAGAAGAAACATAGCATGTTCTAATGGGAGTTCGGTGACTGAGGCACCTTGCTGCTATTTCTGAGAAAGCAAGATAGTTGTACTAAGGGACCCAAAACAATTTCTCTCGTGTGATCTTATCATGAGGTCTATCCCTCCCCACTAAAAACCTACCACCTAGGGGCCATTGGGAGACATGTGTTTGACTGGATTAAGGAATTATGGTGCTGAGAGAGGAAGATAAACAAGAGCTATCTTACACATTACCAAGTGTTGTTAAGGGACCAAAACACATTAAAAGCCAGGGTCACATTGGATAAAACCAGCTGCTGAGAGAATCAGACACTGGACAGGTAGGTTTTGGTGAGGAAAAGGGGGAGGGAAGAGGTAATGAAGGGCCCAAGACACAGGTTGATCCTGCCCGGGGGAAGCCATGGAGATCAGGTCACCCATCAAATAGGAGCATCAAATAGGAAGGGTAGAATGGTCCTGAAAGGGGCATAGAAGAGGAAGACTGAAGCCAACTCTGCCAGTTTTAAATTTTGCTTTAGGTGAGAACTAAAGAAAAGATAAATATTTTGGAAATTGGAACCATTTCTAAGATTCCTATCCAATGATGTGCTTGTGTGAAAATTCAGGAGTACTCATGAGTCTCTATCCCGCCTTTCGTTGAAGGCTTAAGTCAGGCTGAACATAAGAAAGAAATGCAGGAAATCTTAAGCTCCTGGAATGAAGCAGCGTAAAGGACTTATGGGCAGTGACTGTCCTGCCTTCCCCTGACTCTTGCTCTGGCTGGCAGTGCAGCTCTGAGCCTCGCCCCACGTTTATTCCTCAAGCCAGATGTTGAAGACTACCCTGTTGCATGAGGAATTGCCAAAGGTACTGGGAACCCCCAAGGGCTGGGCCTGAACAAATCAGTTACTCAACAATATGTATTATGTCCATATTCTAGTCGAGACAAAGGAATTGCCCCCGTGAGTAAAACCAGGCTAGTGGGCAAAAGCCACAGAGAGACAATTGTTGATCCAAAATTAGGAAAGACTTCCTAACAGAGCTGTTCAAGGATAGAATGTAAAATACTAAAATCCCCATCACTAAATGTGTTTCAAGCATAGGATGGCTTGCAGAAATTCAGATATTAAGGAGGAGATTGGACCTGACAAGTTTACAATTCACTTCCATTTTCCAGTCCTATAAAATAGAAGAAATGACCACAAGGTACAATGAATTGACAGTTTAATCAAGAAAACAGAAATTGTGGAAATAATAGCAGATCCAAAGCAACATATAATAAACCAAACTAAAGGTCCAAAAACTCACTACAGAAATACCAAAAATAGCTGTCCTGAGAAAACTCAGGAGAGACCCCAAATTTCTTCATACCAAGGAAGATTCATCCCTTCGCATAAG